AAAAATTTAAATTAAAAAAAAAAAAAAAAAAAGAAATTTCGTGCCAGAAATCCTGAAATTCAACACATGTAAAGTATCTCAATTTTTGCTTCTTTTTTTTACAGCCTTTTAATTCCAATCACCATACAGCATCTCTGCTCATCTCTTTCCAACGAACTCTCAACAAATCGAAGAAATTTTCTTATTTCTTGTATCCGACTTAATTTGAAATTAATTTCAAATAAATATACATACATATATATATATCCCGCAAGTGTCCGACGAGTACGATACGATCACGTTTTTTTTACATCGTGCCTCTTGTTTTAAACATCGAAGTCATCGATAATCGCGTGTCCCGATTAAATTGTAGAAAAGTCGTGGGGGGGGGGGGGAAGGAGGGTATATATACTTACAGATTTATCGGTATCACACATCGCGTGTCCCTCATATTCGTTTCGTTTCACAATGGGGTAATCGGGAAAGAGTAAGATCGACGAAACGTGGAAACTCGAGGCTTCAACTTCGAAGGCTTGACTCTCGATGGTTTACCCGCCGGCCTTTTCGCGTATTTATTACGAAACGAATCGAAAAATTGATATTCATATACCTCGAGGCATCACAGGTAATCGTACACCAGGAATCGTGTACAGGAAAAACACTGTAATTTCCGAAGGAAACAGGGCAAGGGGATCGATAGACGAGCGAATAAAAACTAGCTACGACGGACATCGACGGCGCGATCGTCCGCCCGGAATTGGAAATATGTTCCCGAGGGCGATAAATCGGTCCCTTTTTTTTCTTTTTTTTTTTTTTTTCCTCGAAAAGCTGTTTCGCGCGAATCTCGTACGCGCGTTTTCACGCGTGTGTGGAAATAATTTTTACGACGTAACGAAATAAAATAAAATAAATAAAGTATGTATATATGTATATATCGAATTTTAAAAAAAGAAAAAGAAAGAGAAAATTAAACGATGCGTTCGAGATGTAATATCGCCGACAATGATGGCGCGAATCGGAGCCGAACGGAGATAGATAAAAATAGAAAAAAAAATAACAAAGAGATAAAGAATATAATAGTGATAATGATAATCAATC